TTATTGATTGTTTGACCCGCCTAAACTCAATGATAATCAAGATAACTAATAAACTATCAAATTTCACTCCTCGTTTGTATGTAATTTGATAAAAAAAAACAGTCGGACTACAAATCATTTCTCCTTAAATATACAAACAATTAAAACTAAGAGTAAAAGTCATTAGATTGTCAGTTATTTTGTTACAGTTGTTTGTGGAAGTGGATTTCAGTTACAAATAAAAGAAATGTGGTTTTTTGTTCTAAATCCATGTGAGCAGTAATGCACCATCGTATAAACTTAGTGTTCAATTCTCTGAATATATTTAATAGTTATCGAACAGTAATCGTATTTAACACTACAATGAAATGGAATTTAGTATACATGTTTTACGAAATCAGACGTAATCAATGCTGTCTAACATGTGTTATTCCAAACACCAATATAGACTGGTTAATTGACTTTGGTATGCGTTGGCGGCACAGCTGTAGAATGCTTACCAACCACGCAGGTGGTTCGGGGTTCAATTCCCGGCCACCGACGCACGACTAGCGAATAGGGAACGTTGGGCATGAGGCTAGCAATCTCATCCCCGTGAAAATAAATACCAGTGCTACTGAAACTTCAAGTCTCTAGCTTGAAGCCGCCGTATGTTCCACTAGGAACAGAACGTGAAGGAATAAAAATAAAATTGACTTTGGTAATCTAAAAATGAAGTGACAGTCTTTAAATTTCTTTAGTTAAAGAGTTTGAAGCAATGAAATTAGAGTATAAGTAACAACAGAAACAGAGGTCACAACTGCACAGACATCAAGTTAGTTCAATTGATAATAATAATAATCATAACAATCCTAAACAATTCCAAAAACAGTGCTTACCATACAGCATAGAATTTTCAGCATTTATCATAATATTGCATCTAATTTATTCAAAATATAAAAAAAAATTAACCACAGGGATTTTTCCACACTTAACAGTAGGAATAAAATCAAAAATGTGCAGAGTACAGAATGAGAATAATAACTATCATAATATTAATAATACTAGTGACAATAACATTAGGTTTGTTTCAAACAATAATGTCGATACATTATGGAAATTTGAGCATGTTTATACAGTATTGAATCTAATATTCTGTTGATATAGTACGGTGAGGGAGAAAGGCAAAGGAAAATTACTACAGAGTTTAATGAAATTTATGCACGTCCATATTAATTCGTTTATTAGACATATTTATTTATTTTATTTTGATTTATTTTTGATTTACATCTTGATTCCACACTGTATTTTCGGTACAAGTATGAAATTTTCAGCATGGATATCGGTAGCCCAAATTTTTCAGGCCGACCATAGATATCAGATGTGCGTCGGTGCGGGCTCGAACCCCGGACCATGTGCATGGTCGGCGAGAGTCCTAACCACTGTGCCACCGACGCACACAGTGAAACAGTATTACTTACTGGATGACAAGATTTCGAACTCAATTTATTGCGGTTCCATAATCATCTCGTCAATTATAATCACACGACTTCGTAATTCGAGTTTTATAGTTTTCTTCTTTCTCCTATTCGTTGTCGTAGGGGTGGTGGTGGACAGGTGTTGACGCATTCCTATTACGCGTGTTTTTACAGCTGATTAGATAAATAAAGCTCCCGTTATCAACCTCGCCTCCCACCTTGTTACATTATATTTTAAAACTGTCATCTTATTACATGCTATTTCATGGTTGTGTGTAATTACATGCAGTGCTATAACTAAGCTGTTTTCTAGATTTCACGCTTTATTAGGGCCAACTAATCTAGATTTGCTGATTTCTGATGCTTAGTCGACAACACTATGCTAACCTTTATTTCATGATCGCCGGTTTGAGTGGTAGAATTCTCCCCGACGATGCTACTGGGCCGGAGTTCTATGCGCTCGTAAACCTAAGTTAGTTTACTAGCCTGTAGTTAGAGGAAAAGCAACACTGTCGTTACTGAAATTTCAAGCGTGAGACCCGATATACCATTAGGAAGGCAGTGGAACACGCAACCTAACTAAATAGAAAATCATTTTATATCAGTTTTCATCTATACACATCCTGCTGACTGTTCCAACGTTGAAATGCTCCTTTTATTGATATGTCGTTCTATAATATGACAGCTCCCTCATTTTTGCTACTCGCATTCCATCTATCATGTAAATACCTTAGTGAATAAACACCACATATGTAGAGAGGCTATTGTATCCCTCTGTTTTTTTAATGAATGTACACTTTTATGGTTAAAGGGAATAAACTATTTCAAATTTATTTCATTTTCATTAGTTAGTGAAGCTCTTTAAATTGAGTTCACAGCCGTCTTTTAGTTCAAAAGCGTTTTTTCCTCACCTAAACTAATTCATTGTCTAGCATAGTAAAAAAAGTCATTACACTATGCATACTACTGAGCTGTATGCGTAGGTGAAGACAATTGACGTCAAACAGTAATGCTTGCTAGGTAAATTTCGATTACCTGAACGCTGAATAGCCGTTTTGATTTTTTACGGTTGAGTTCATTAGCAGTATACCCGGAGTGGTGACTGAACTCAGTTCATTTCAAAGTTCAAGGATTTGTGCTAGTGACCGGGTACTATTACAAGTCTGATTACCAGTTGTCATAACCACTGGAGAACCACTGAAAAATCAAAGGTTACTTACTAAACAGCTGTTTCGTCCTAGTTTTGAACTCTTCAACGCTATGCGATTAGATTGGGTCCCAATAGCTGAATAGTCTACGCGTTCACCTCGTAACCTGAAGATCGTGGGTTAGAAACCGAGCGAGTACATACTGATGAAGAGTTCTAAACTAGGACGAAACAACTCCCTGGTTTTTCTAATGGTCCTCGAATTAATGTCAGCTGGTGATCGAATCTGTAACTAATCAATCCCCTGCAAACCAGCAAAGTCATTTACACAGTTCTAGATGAACATTTGTCATAGCTTTATCAGTAAAAATAAAGTATTCACATTATATTTTGTGATTTTGCTTGATCCTGTAAATGATATTAACCCGACAGTGATAGTTTGGAATGAAAAATCTAGTGTAATCTATCACTGTTTGTTCAACTACGTCTTATTCATGATAAAATTTATCCAACTGACTCTTAAAAACCCAAAAAAGAAAATCTTTGAATATAAGATGCGTTTGCAGTTGTGCACAACTTTGCTGAAAAATGCTTAATATCTTCAGGTGTATTGTTACTCATGTTGCATTTCCATGTTATATAACTCAGGTATCCAAAACACACTTCTCATGAATTGGACTATCGGCCACATCTACCCAGATGCCAAGGTGGAGTAGGATTCGAACCAGTGGGTTCAACTGCTGAAAGTCGTTACTCATATTTTAATACTGCACAGCTATCAAAACAGCGAACACCACCTGAATTATATTGGTTGATGGTGACTATCCTTGGAATCTAGGATGCTCATTCAGCTATTTGTCCCCGTATCACTCACTGACAATTGCAGGTACGCGAACCCCAGAAGGGACAGAATATGCTAGTCATTACTCAACCAAAATAACTTCACATTAGTCCTAAGATATATTTGAAGCCACCGACATGAGAACAAAGATCAGTTTAACATAATTAACCAACAGGGAATGCAGTTTAACCTAAGACAAGGTATATGATTGTTTACAGGATTTCATTATGGGCTGACATCGGTTAGTTGAGCTATTGGAAATCTTGCGAGTACTGGATGGCTGTTTCATCTTAGTTTGGGATGCACCCACTGGGTTTCGAACCCGGAGCATTCTGGTTGTGAGGCTAGAGAGCTCGTAGACCAATAAGCCACTGGGACCCGGACTCAATGAACAGCCCATGAATTCCAACTTCTGCCAATTGACGATATAGCGTGACCAATAGCCAGTGTCTTCGGCGAGTATTTGATCTATGAGGTGGCGTTGTAACCAAATGGTTGTGGGCTCGAACCCCGGTGAGTGTGTACTGATGAGCAGTCCCAAACTAGGCTGTCTGGCAGTACTCCCAGCTGGTTCTCTGATCTCTGACGAAATCTCAGCACGAATACAGGGGGCTCGTTTCGCATTTGCCAGTTTACGCCGACTCTGGCGTAGACGAGATGTTCGACTATCGACCAAAGGGCGGGTGTACTGCTCATCAGTCCGCTCCGTCCTCCTTTATGGTTGTGAGACCTGGTCACTGAGAGTGGAAGACATGAAAAGACTAGCTGTCTTTGATCATAGGTGCCTCCGCTCTATTTCCCGTGTAAAGTGGCATAATAAGGTGAGCAACATGGAGGTTAGGCGTAGAGTTCTAGGTAAACAGGGGAAATCAATCGACGAAGTCGTGAAGCTACATCGACTGAGATGGTTAGGACATGTGTTACGTATGCCAAGTCATCGCCTCCCTCGACGAGCTATGTTAGCGGATATAGGGTCAGGCTGGAAAAAAGCTAGCGGCGGTCAAACAAAAACTTGGCCTTACCAGTCAGTGAAATCCACAACAGTTGGTCTAAGCCACGTAGGAAGGTGTAGACTGGCTTCCAGGCTGGGGTCCTCGGGACGGTAAAAATCTATGGTTGGAAACAATTGGTGACATGGCTCAAAACCGTTCTCAGTGGCGTAGATGCATCCACTCCTTGTACGTTATGATCTCCAATGAAACTGTTTTGTATTTCTTTATTACTCCTTTGTCTCACCCCTCTGCTCACAGTTTCTATTATGCTTTTCTTAGACTTTCTTCTCTTGCTTCGCGTGCTACACGGAGTGTGGCGACTTGAACTTCCGCACATTTGTGCAGAGTTCTATGTCGAAAACAGACAGACAGACTCCCAGCTGGTTTACCTATGGTTCTCTAACCGATATCAGCTCATGATGAAATCCTGTAATTAACCAATTAATGAAATCCCTACAAATCAATACCTGAATAACACAAAGTATGCGATTTATTTTATCCCCTTCATCATATCTGCTAGATGGTTTAAATAAAATGCTCACTCTACCCTGTTTTGCCTTTCTATCTTCTTTTTTTTTTAACAGCTTGTTCGTGCTATTTGGTTATTTCATGTATCTAAAGTGGTTGAATGTTTAGATACCTTCTTTTTTATAATTCGTGGACGGACACATCTTGTCACATGGTTACATGTTTATCATCATTGTACAATGATTCCATTAACATGGGCTGGTGTAAAATGGGTCGCCGGTGGTGAACTATTTCAACCAGTTGCTGTCAACAGTTCAGTTCATGTGATTATGTATAGTTATTATGCTTTGGCAGCACTTGGACCACAATGGAGAAAATATTTATGGTGGAAACGTTATCTAACACTGATACAAATGGTATGTTTAATTAATTAATTAATTTATTTATTTATTTTATTGCCTTAGGTCGACTAGTTTTTTTTTTAATGTTCCCGTACTGGTTTTCCTTGTGGGGATTTTGTTGGATTGGTTGGAGAGGATTTCATCGTGAGCTGACATAAGTTAGAAAACTATTTGAAAACCACCTAACTGTTTCGTCCTGGTTTGAGACTCTTCATCAGCATGAACCTGGCAACCTTGTATCAAGAAGGTCCTAGGTTGAAACTGTGGCAGCGGGTGCTACTGGTGAAGAGTCCCAAGCTAGTGAGACGAAATAGCTGCCTGGTAGTCCTCCCGGCTGGTTTTCCAATAGTTCTCTAACCGATATCAATTCATGAAGAAATCCTCCAACTAATTTCTAATGTAACTAAAAGTCTAACCATGTTTGTTTTCTCCTGTTGGGGTGTATGGACTGTCTCAGCGAATGCTTCAGTATTACCAGGATGAAGGACTCAAAGTTACGTCTTTTTGTTGATGGCTAACGAGAAGCTGGCACCTGTATTTCGTCATATTTAAGACTCGTGAGTTGTATTCACTTGTTACCCAGTGAGTAATGGTATTTTGCACTGAGACTCGAACCTAGGAATGATAATTTAAAGTGTTGAAGGGTTATCCACTGAAGCGAAAAAAAATGGCTTAATGTTATATGGGGTTGTCGAAAGTATTAAGTATAGAAATTATTTGAATAAATCAAGAACAACGGTGCTTTGTGCAGAATAATAAATGGTACCATCGTTTATTTCAATGGTTTCTCATCAGCAGTTATTAGTCTTTCCTTGCTCAGCCTGGTAACTGGATGTCTTTATTCTCTCATCTGATTACGTAATCTTTGTCTTTAACCTCACTCTCCTTTTGTAATCTTTAATTTTGCTCGTCTCTTGTTTCTATGATTTGAGTTGAACTCAGTACATTGTCACCTAATTTATTAATCACTCAGCATCTTACGCATCTGTCGTCTTTATTACGTAACTCCTTTACCATTATATGCATAAATTTATTTTGGTTAAACTTGAATCGCCTGTGTAAAAACCTTATAAGCGTAATTTTGTGAGCACTGTTCATTAATTGTGGAACCTTGTGTCACGTAAACCTCATAATTTATTTAGGCTGTAAGCAGCTGACGAGAAGCCAACGAAACAAATGATAGTATCATATTATTGCGTTGGTGGCACAGCGGCTAGCCTGCTCGCCGACCATGCACATCGTCCGGGGTTCGATCACCGGCCACCGAAGCACTCCTTTACCTTACTTATTCAGTAATAAGACTGGTGTAGAGGGAAGGTTGGACGTGAGGCTAGCAACCTCATCCTGTAAAAATACACACCTCCAGCTTGAAGCCACCCTATGTTCCACTGGGAACGTGAAGGAAATATATATTTAGAAAAAAGCATATTATTCTGCACAAACCACTGTTGTTCCTGCTTTATTCAAATTCATCAAGGGGAATAAATGCATAAGAATTATCTTTTGAAGTTGAAATTCTATTCATGGTTAGTTGGTTCATGTGTTTGAATCCAGTCCAATTAACGAATATTTGGCTAACCAAACCGTGTCGTGATCCTCTATATATGTCTGTCTGTCTGTTTTCGACATAGGACTTTGCACATATATGCACCAGTTCAATTCGCCACACTCCATGTAACACACAAAGAATGAGAAGAAAGTAGAAGAAATGCATAATAGGGACAGTAAACAGAGGTGTGAGACAAAGGAATTAGTAGTAACGAAGAACAAAACAGTTTCATTGGAAATCATAAGTAACAAGTAGTGGATGCATCTGCGCTAGCCATTGAGAACGATTTTGAGCCATGTCACCAATTGTCTCCAACCATTGGTTTCTACTGTCCCAAGGATACCAACCAGTCAAGAAGTCCACACCTTCCTACGTGGTTTAGACTAACTTGTAGATTTCATTGACTGGTGCCATGTTTTGGTTTGACCGACACTCAATAGCTCTTTTCCAGCCTGACCCTATGTCAGCTAACATTGCCTGTCGAGGAAGGCGATGACTAAGCTAGGCATGCGTAAAACATGTCCTAACCATCTCAAATGATTTGATTTCACAACCTCATCGAATGACTTCCGCTCCCACCTACCTATCACTCGACCAACGCCTAACCTCAATATTGCTCACCTTATTACACCCACCACTTCACACTGGAGATAGAGCGCAGACACCTATGATCGAAGACAGCTAATCTTTTCATGTCTTCCACTCTCAGTGGCCAGGTCTCACAGCCAGCTATAAATGAAGACGGAGCGGACTGATGATCAGTACACTCGCCCTTTGGTCGATAGCCAGCTAGCCGGATATCACGTCAGCGCCAGAGACGGCGTAAACTGGCATATGCGAAACTAGCCCTCTGTATCCGCTCCGAGATTTCCTCAGAGACCAACCCGTTGGCGTCGGCTGATGGTACTTCCTAAATAAGTGAAGCGGTCAGCGTGCTCTACCACTTTACTCTCTATTTCCAAACTAGGAGCCAGTGTCGTCCAGTCCAGTCCTGTAACATCATCTTGCATTTGGCGGGGGCGAATCGCATGCAAACATGCCAACCGTAGATTTCAGCTGAAGGTGTCTAGAAGACTGCATTTTGTCAGCGTCCTTGCCTAGAAGAACTATATCCTCTGCATATTCTAAGTCAACGAGATTATTCCCTGGTGGTAGCAAGTCAATCCCCGAGTCGCTGAAGTGAGTTAAGGTTAAGTCCATTAGTACATCTGTGATGAAGTTGAACAGAAATAGGGATAATGGGCATCCTTGACGGAAACAGTTCATAGCTGAATTGAGTAACTAAGCAACACTCCATCATATCACACAAGTTGTTAATTGTTATTGGGTAGACTCTATCTAATCTGGGACTAAAGTAATTACAAATCGTTGTACAGACAAAGTTATAATAGTTTGACATATGCGTGTGTGTGTGTGTATATTTTATTCCCTTTGTTAGTATTCAAACCCAAATGTCTTTTTTAATTCACAGTTGGTTGATTTTTAATCCCTAAACCTGATTATTTTTCTAAGTGATGTTAAGTCAGAAGAAAGGAAATGTTACTCAATAAACACCGGCATTTCATTCAGCTGATAACGAGCCACATCTTCTGTGGCACTGTGTGGGGGTTGTATGGTCTACTCGCACATATGATCCCATGTTTTGAAATCGAGCATCATATATGATTAAGAGAGATAGGTCAGTGTAACTAATGTAAGTGTAGAATTCCCATATAGTGCGTCGGTGGCACAGTGGTTAGGACTCTCGCCAACCATGCATATGGTCTGGGGTTCGAGCCCGCACCGACGCACACCTGATATCTATGGTCGGCCTGCAAAATTTGGGCTACTGATATCCATGCTGAAAATTCCATACTTGTACCGAAAATACAGTGTGGAATCAAGCTGTAAATTAAAAATTAAAAAATTAAATTAAAATTAAATATTAGATGATTGGAGGCAATCGGTCATAGGTAGCCCTAGCCAGCTGACCTAGGTTTCGTGCTAGCTGTCACTCACCAGTACAGTCAGCAAGGCATATTTACAATCACCTTGAAGCAATAGCTTAAACCCCTTCTGAGATTCGAACCTGTGTCACCCAGTGGGCCTGCAGTCAATCAGAGACGTTACCACTGAGCTATTCGGACTGGAGATTGACCTCCTGTAGGACTGAATAGTGTAAGGTGTCTAGTCCTTGTTGCTGGGGCAGACTGAATTCTATCCGTCAAGTTTGCAATATGGCCTAGGTTGAAACAGGGTTTCCTGCCGCTTGCCTCCAACCATTTAATATCAACAATTCAAAGTACACCATGATGGCGAGCCACGTTGCAATTTTGACTGATAGAATTCAGTCTGCAGCAAACATGGGACAAGACACACTCCTCACTGGTCACCGACTAGTGCTCAATCAAAATATAATACCCTATTAGATAAGCTACTATTGTGGTGAGAGCAGGCTGCTAGCCGATTGGTTGGCACTAATCTACGTTAAGGTCTAGGTCACTAATATGGGCCGTGAACAAGGCTGAGTCAACAACCAATCACAGCGAAGTTAACGTGGCAAAATATGATTCGCAGATAGAGAACTCTGTTTGTCAAGGAATCCCGAAACAACCAATCAGAAGCCTGCGTTTGTCTACCTAAACAACCAATCAGATGACTGCGCTTGTCTATAATAATGTAGTTGAAAGATGTATAAATACGTGTTGATTTTCATAATAAAACGATCTGTTGCCTGGCCCTTGTCTTCTGTTGTTACATTTGGTGTCGCTGCCTACCGACAAATGAAAAGCCTATACCCTGCAGTTTTTGATGGAGACATATGGATCTTCGGGCAGGACTTCAAGGCTTCTGCGCAGTTGAGTGGCGTTCAAGATCTGTCAGCGATGGAGCTGCTACTTGAGACGCTGCTGGGAGGTCGGGCGAAAGCAGCATATGAAGGTGTGGGCCGAAGTATGGACGAATGTTCGACAGGGTCAGGCAAACAGTTTCCAAAGTGGGAAGGACCATATATGGTCACTTCGAGATGGGGTTACGCAGACACAGTCGCAATGGCGAACAATGAGAGGCGCGTGAACGTCAGCGAGCTCCAGAAATGGATACAGCGAGACAAGCCAACGATGACGCCTGCACCAAGTAGATCAAGCCGACTGCAGTCGCACGTATTTGACGGGGGACGAGTGTGGTGAGAGCAGGCTGCTAGCCGATTGGTTGGCACTAATCTACGTTAAGGTCTAGGTCACTAATATGGGCCGTGAGAAAATATGAACAAGGCTGAGTCAACAACCAATCACAGCGAAGTTAACGTGGCAAAATATGATTCGCAGATAGAGAACTCTGTTTGTCAAGGAATCCCGAAACAACCAATCAGAAGCCTGCGTTTGTCTACCTAAACAACCAATCAGATGACTGCGCTTGTCTATAATAATGTAGTTGAAAGATGTATAAATACGTGTTGATTTTCATAATAAAACGATCTGTTGCCTGG